CAGACTGAGAAATCCAAAAGAAATCTGGGTAAGATACACAAGCACTGATAAATCCACACTCACTGGTGAATGTCAGAATATCTTTGTGAAAACTGCAAAGGTGGGTTTTAAGAAGAAATTTACTTCTTCTGAAGGCATCCACCCCAACAGATTTGAAGCAAAAGTGCTAATAGAAATTCAATATTGATTTTTAAAATTGAGAAAAAATGGATTAAACTTCTTTAATAAATATTATAATGCATTAAAATATTAGTTGATGAAAATAAACAGCCACAGCACATCTTTCAGCAGAAACATTTAAAAGTCGTTCTCAACCCTGAGGCTTGAAAGATAATTTAGGGGCGCGTAATTGTGGAGTGGTCATCAAGAGAAAGCGACCATATTTTGGATAACAAATTTCTGAGACTAATAACAATAATAATAGTAATAACTTTTTAGATGATCCAGGCAGTCAGTGCAGTTTTCAGACAGGAGTGATGTGTTGTGTGGATCTGTGCTGCTGCATTCTGTACAGGTTGTAGAGGATGGATTGTTTTCTCCAGTAAGAAGATGATTACAGTGATCAACTCTGCTTGTAACAATGCATGAACAAGTTTCTCTGTGTCGCTCTTAGATAGAAAAGGTGGAACGTTTACAGTATTTCTTGAATGTTAAAAAGTTACTTTAGTGACTGTGTTTACATGCAGCTTAAAGCAGAGCTCAGAGTCTTGGATCACAATCAGATTTTGTGCACTCTCAGAATAAAAAGATTCTAAACTGTCACTGGGGTAGTACCCTCAAGGGTACATCTTCAGTTGCTTTAATTAGGGAATTGTAATGCACCACATGTTTTGCAGTTACAATAAGTTGTATTGACCCTGTCTAGTTCCTGTTTTTATTGTTCTGTTTTAAAACATTAGGTTAGGAAAAGGTATAAATATATACCTTTCCACCTAAAAAAACTTATTTAAGGTGCAGCATTGGACCTTAAAACCACTGTTGACCATTGAAGATACATTTACATTGTTTGTACCTCGATGAATGAAAAAATGTACCTGCACACTATCTTTTGACAGTATACTTCAGGCTTGATGTATGAAGCTAAAGAGCCAAGCTACATATTGTAATGTGTTGGAAGCTGAAGGAGATGAGAAGGCAGGATGCAAGCGCAAGATAGCAGTTTTAATGTTGTTCATGGAGAAAGTAGCAAACAAAAAACAAACAAAAAAGCAAAATGAGAAAAGTACAAAAGAAATGAAAAGAACCATGAAAAACAAAGAACAGAGAACAAAATCCTTAGGAATAACAACTTGAACTAAGAATCAGTACAACACGCTATAAACAATGCCAAGCAAGGAACAGACCAAAGTAAGGGAAATAAACAGACCAAGAACACATGAGAAACATCTGGACCTCATGAGAGGGTGGGCCTACAGACGACAAACAAGTGGGACAGATGACTGGGGAGGAGGCCAAAACAACAAAAGCATATGGCAGATGTAAACAAAAGCACATGGGTCACACCAAGGAGGATAAACAAAGGCAGACATGGACAGAAACAAGGAAAGATAAAGCAGGACAAGACATGATGTTACATTTATAAAGCATCTTTTCTGAATTTTAGTAAGATTGTGTTTCAGTTTTTCTTGAATTAGTTGTAGAAATTTTTATGACATCCACTCATAACCATAGCTGGTCAGCCTGTCAACAGAGTCTTCATTATCAGAAGGAATTGAAATGTGTTTCCAAATAATGAACTGGGGTTCACTGAAGCATCTACTGCTTCACACTTTTCTGTTATCTCTACCATAACGTGGATGAAACAGATGAAGACAAACTTGCTATATCTGTACTGCATAGTGTGAAAGCAACAGAACATGGAAAGATTGTTTGCTATGTTAGAAAGCTTTGCTGGATGTGCAAGATACATCTTCTAGATGTGCTGGGACGCATCATCAGTGATGCATCCTGGGATCCTCGGGTGTTTCGGGTCTCTCGACATCAGAAACTCTCGCCCAGGCGACCCAGCCGGGGTTGATCAGGCCCCGACTTGCGTCCCAGCAGCAACTGCCCACGGATCAGCCCTCTTAATCCAAAGCCACCTGGTGGCTTTCTCTGTGGCTTCGCTTGCGGACCGAATGGTCCTCTTCTTTGACACCCCCGTAATGCCCAGTTGGTTGAGGACTTTGCAGTAAGAGCGTCCTGCAAAGCCTCTGCAGCCCACCTCTATAGGCTTGTAGTATGTCTTCCAGGCTCTGTCCTTGCATTTTTCCACCAGCTCCTGGTACTTGGCGCGTTTCCTCTCATTTGCTTCCTCTATACGCTCTTCCCAGGGCATTGTGAGTTCCAGCATGTTCAGTTGTTTTGTCACTTCAGAGGTGATGATCATGTCTGGCCAGAATGATGTTACTACAATATGTTGTGGGAATTTAAGCTGCTTGCCCAGGTTGACATGCAGCTGCCAGTCAGAGGCTGTGTAGAGGAGGCCTGCCCTTGTTTTTGGCTGTGGGCAGGGTTTCTCTCCAGCTCTGATGAAGGAGATCTACTTCCTTGGGGTGTGGTGGTGTCTGCTAAAACTGATGGCAATGACTATACTCTCAGCAACTGCCTTAAGCACCTGGTCATGGCGCCAACGATAGCGGCCTTCTCCCAGGGCCTTCAGGCAGCTGCTGAGGAGATGTTCTAGGGTTCCTCTACCAGAGCACAGTGGGCAGGAAGGTGTCTTGCTCTTGCCCCAGATGTGAAGGTTTGCTGGGCTTGGTAGGGCATCGTAGACAGCTTGCACAAGGAACCAGATAAGATGCCAGTCCCCCTGCATGATGTTTGACCAGGTAACCCTGCAAGGTGTTACTGGTCCCATACAGTGCTGTGCTGTTAGGCTGCAGGGAAGGCCCAGCCACTTGTGCAGGAAGCCACTGATTTTCCTTTCAAGGGACTCAACTGTCGTTAGTGGAACTGCGTAAATTATTTCGTAAATCTGAATCTTATTTTAAAGTTATCTTTCTGAGTTTTGACCAAACTTTCTAGGCCAATTTAGGCTCTACTGACAGAATCGTAGTTAACTAACAACACTGTCAACAGTCCTAGTTTTGTTAAAGATGATTGGATTTCCTGTTTGTATATTTCAGAGAATTTGGTGCTTGTTATGTTTGTACTGTATGACAGCTGTAAATGTCATCTGTCTCTCCTTGTCCCTCCTTTTTGCAGATTGTCTGGTTGTATGGTTACAGTTAAAGGCTGTTCTTCTCTGGCTTCAGCTCTGAAGTTAAACCCCTCCCACCTAAGAGAACTGGAGCTGATGTATAATCACCCAGGAGAGTCTGGAGTGAAGTTGCTGTCTGATCTACAGAGGGATCCACACTGTGCACTGGACACACTCAGGTGGGCTGCAAGCAGTTAATCTAGAGGACATCAAGCTCTAAAGCAAATTAATGAAATTCTTCAAAACACTACTGAGAAATATATCCTCTTAAATTATGTATCTTCACAATTTTTAGTGGCATATGGAGGATGGATAGTAGCCTGCTGTTTTTTGTTTTTTTTTTCCTTATTTACTCCTTATTTTGTTGAAGAAGCCTGAGCACTTACTGGAACTAAGGGTGGGGGATTCATTTTCTTAATATGTAAAGGAGATACACTGTCCAAGGAAGACCTTAAAATATTTAATATGTTGCTCATTTGATCAAGCTGTGATGTCTTATATGAAATACTGTTTAATTTACTCAGGTCAGGAATGCTGTATATGAGACAACGTAATCACATACATTCTTCAGTGTATTTCAGGGTTTGTGCTCATTTGAAATTCACAATAGTCAAGACAATATTTAGATACAGCACTGTTCAGAGGGACCATGAGGACCTTAAAAAAAATGAATGTCAAATGTTAAAATAGAATACAGGGTGTGACTACTTAGGAGTGAATCATTCTTAGGAACACCAAATTTGGCTAAAATGGAAAAAAAAACTGGGGTGTTTAAATTAAGAAGGTTAGTGTTCGGATTGCCTTAATTTATTTGTTTTGAACTTCAAATAAAAATTTCATTGGGCATAAAACCCAGATTCTTCTTCCATTAACTTACTATTCAAAATTTTATTATATTTAATTTTAAGGCAGCCCAAACGCTAACTTTTTTAGGTTACACCAACATTTTTTACAGTGTAGAATACACACATGAATGAATGCCCTAATGAGAAGACAGAACTAGGTTAGATAAAAACTAAAAAAAAAAAAGAAAAAAGATTCATTTAGAAAATAAGTCACGTTTTAAAAGTTTTATTCTTTGTCAGTGTCATTTAAAATCACCCTAATCAAACCGTTCAAGCCAAGTTTTAGTTAAACTTAAACAATGGTCCATTAACAAATCATTAACAATCAAAGCCTTGTGACTGAATCAGCTTATGTTCAATAAACTCAGATTTAGGTTAATCATCATGATTGATGGCTCTAATACTGGTATTTTGAGGATACCTGACAGGTTAGCTTGACAGTTCTGCTTCACGTTAGAGTGCCAAGACCTTGCCTCAATTAGTTACCATAGTTTGAATTAGGAAAACATGTTCTATGAATATGTATCCAGCATCAAGTGCACATGTGGACTGTGGCCTTATCACTACACGAGGGTAAACATTTCACAGCACTTTCAGACCCTGCACATGCAGTAAAAGCCATGCACACTTGACACCCAAGGGTGTGCTTAATTTTCATTTGAAATGTGACTGAAACATCCCTGACTCAGCTTCTCAGCTAAATTGAATAATGTTAGCATGGCTTGCAGTGTTTGCATGTATTATCTGTGTTTATCTGGGGGTAATATACAAAAATCACACCTGAGGAAGGATTTCGACTGGTATATCACGCGCTACATAACACTTACAATTATTGTATCTGATCATGTTTACAGAAGCCTAACTCAGCCTGTGCATTTGTGCTGGGTAACAATTTTTCACATCTGTGTAATGTATGTGAGCGAGAGACAGAGAGAGAGAGAGAGAGAGAGAGAGAGAGAGAGAGAGAGAGAGAGAGAGGAATAGAGGCCAGAAATGTTTTTTAGAAAGAATAATCTGCAGTTTCTGAGTGTTTTTGTTTTAACTTGCAATGCATTTGAATGAATGTATCTGTGTGCATTCTTTCTTTTTTAGGGTGGAACATGGAGGGCTGATCCGGATGACACCGGGAATAAGGAAATGTAAGATTACTGTGTTCAGTGTGAAGTTCTCTCTCTCTTTTTCTCCCTCTCTCTCTCTCTCACACACACACACACACACACACACACTCTATTTTTTCTGTGTTTTTGTGTGCAGATGCCTGTGAACTCACTCTGGACCCAGACACAGTGAGCAAACGCCTTTTTCTGTCTGAGAAGAATAGGAAGGTGCAGTGTGTGAGAATCCAGCAGCAGAATAAGAGACCTCCGGATCATCCTGAGAGATTTGAATACTATCAGCAGGTTCTGTGTAGAGAGAGTCTGACTGGACGTTGTTACTGGGAGGTCGAGTGGAGTGCAAGGGAGGCTGTTGTAGCAGTGACATATAAAGACATAAAGAGAAAAGGAGGCGGTGATGTATGTGAGTTTGGATTCAATAATTACTCCTGGAGACTGTACTGCTCTAAAGACAGATACTCTGTCAGATACAATAATCAGGAAACTGTTATACCTGCCCCCCCCTCCTCCTCTAACAGAGTAGGAGTGTATCTGGACTGGGGGTCCGGCACTCTGTCCTTCTACACCTTCTCACCTATCACGCACACACTGACCCACCTACACACACTCACCACCACATTCACTAAACCGCTGTACGCCGGGTTTAAGGTATGTAATGGCTCTGTGCGTTTGTGTGAGATAGAAAAGTTTTCCAACTGTGAATGAATTAGGTGACCTCTATAATATACGAGATCTGGTTTCTTAGTTTACATAATAAGTACAAATAATATAACTTCATGGTTATAATGATGACAATACAGCTGTCCTTCCCATAAAGATGCTAAGTGAGTGTCTTATATTCATTCACAATTGGATGACTAGTCATTGTGCTCAACCTAATGTCAATAAAACCAAGGTCTTTTTTATTGCTCCCTCTGAAGGCCACAGCCTTCCAATAGTGTAGTGTAGCATTATGTAGCAGATACAGTACAGAGCTTTGCTTTACTACACAGAATGTGTGGTAACATTTTCTATGAATGTCACATTAGTAAGCATCTATAAACACATTCATAACATGTTATGATGCATTCATAAGGCATCATAAACATGGCTATAAATATTTATAAAAATGCATTACACGTTATAGCCATGTTTATTATGCATTATGAATTGCAAACATAATGCATTATAAGTACTGTTCATAACAAATTATAAGAGCTCATAAGTTGTATTTGTCCGCTCTAAGTAAAGTGAAGCGTACTGTACTAAAGCCTCCTCCAGTGTTAAGAGTGAGGCTTGAAGTTGAAGTATTTACTGAAGAATGTACTGAAACACTAAAACATACGCAATAAAGCTCATTACAGGCTTCAAATATCGTAGTTTAAACTAGAGCTGCCATCAGTGTTTTACCCAATGTGAGAAAGTCAATGTACATCACCGTTAGCTTGGCACTAACTTAACACTGCATATCCAATAGAATGCTAGCAGAAATTAGCATTACTGTAGTGTAGTGTAGTGTTACAGAGTGAAAGGTTCTAGCACTTGACATTAGAACCATTGCGGGAACAAATTACAATAACAGCACTCTACTATCCTGCCCCTCCCTCTCCAGACCTTCACTCCACAGTGACTTCATGCTCAGTGTGAGGTCAGAGGGGGGTACAGGGGAGGGGCTGATGGGTACTTAGTTTGCTGTGATGTAATTTAGTGTAGTGTGAAGTGAGACGTTGGGTAAGAAAAGCACACTGTAGCAGTAATTCTAGGTGGGACAGCCTGTTTGGAGCATCTGAATATTCAGGACTGAAGCCCTGAAGATTCAGCTCTAACAGCACCAGCACTGAGAAATACAATACTGGAAATCTCAGGGTGTAAATAAACTCTGTATTTGTCTTTACTTTACACTCTCCAAGCTGGGACTGACTTCTTCGGCACTGACAGTATAACATGATATTAACACTAATTATAATGCATTATATTAACAATTCATAATGTATAATAAACATGGCTATAAAGTGTAATTCAGTGTTATTAATTTTTATAAATATTTATAACCGTGTTTATAATGCCTTATGAATGCATTATAACATTTTATAAATGTGTTTATAGATGCTTACAAACGTGACATTCATAGAAAGTGTTACCGAAAGTGTCACAATGAGAGAACTGATAAACATTAACTTCAAGTTCATCTTTATGTAACTACGTTATGCAAAACCACACAAAGGTTGTAAGTGGATTTAAGGAGAAAAAATACAATACAAGAAAAATGCTAATTATGAGCCCTTAAAGTAGGTATGCTTTGAAGGAACTGCTTCCAGACCCTTAAAGTGTTCCTCAGTCCCTGTTGAAGCTGAAGTGGTGATTATGATTTTGTATATTGTATGTTAGATCAGTGGATAGTGGAATGAATGGGTGGAAATGTATAGTAGTTTCATCAGTACATGTTTTAAATGTACTTTATTGATATATTTTTTGATTAAAATCTTGATGTGATATTGGGCAATGGTGTTAGACAATTAGATCTTTTTTATTATTTAATTGGCTCTGTGTTTTATTGCCTGTTTTCCTACATTGAGTGTACAGCACTTTGATCAACAGCTGTTGTTTTTAATTGTGTCTGTATAAATAAATTTGACATTGACATTGGTGTTATTTATTTATTCATGTTCAGACATTCATGTGAATACAAGACACACAATTGGATTTAAGTTTCCTTGGAGCTCATTTATGAAAAGGTGTATTAAATACAGATTGAAAAGTAGAACATACCCCAGTGGAAACATCACTTTATGGTCTTCACTCCTTGTGTCCTTTGTAAATTCATAGAATAAATAAAACAAATAAATAAAGTCTTTGAGCTTCATTGTGTAATCTAATGTAGTTTTTGTATTTTTTGTTTGTTTTAAATGTTTTATATTTTACTTTACTACATTTAATTATCTTTAATAAGAGAGATGCTGTACATCTGTACAATCTTTCTGTGGGATCAAACTTTTTTGATGCTCCACATCAATGTGTCTGAAAAGTGTTTTGTTTTAATAGCCATCTAAACACATTATTAACACATTACTAATTTCTGTAAATAACCAGATTGTTTTCTTCATTGCAGAAAGGTTAAACTAACAATGCTTTTTAAACCCATGAAAGGGTATCACTTGCTATCCATACAGAACTGCTTAAAATCACCTTCCAGAGCAGGTTTTGTGGAGAATAAATGTAGTATTTAATTATAGTATTGTTATTCACTGTAAAATTACAGTAATTTACTGGCAGCAATTTCTCCAGCAGCTTAATGTTCATTTACTCACACTGTATTATACAATGACAATACTGTATTTGTTAGAGTTTTTTCCTGCAGGATTGTGTTCGTACAGCTTGCATGTACTCTAATTGTACCCAAAGCGGTTACTGCACTTCCGCCAGTCATTAAGACTGTAAAGATGGAGATAACTAAATATCTATTGATTATAACAGGATGAAGTAGTTCACTGAAACACAAAACACTATCACAGTTAGTTACAACAAAACATGAAAAATACATGGAAACATATATTTGTTGTTGAAATTATGTGTTAAATTGTGAAATGAGCAGTGAATGTGGAAAAAAGGGAAGTTAACAAAAAACAACAAAACTGAAAGTAATGCTGCAAAGCTCCTCCTAAAGGTTTGCACCACTACTGTATCTTAGATTATAAGTGTGTTAGATGTAGAAATCACTGTAATAAACATGTTAATGATTACATACGTTTTAATAAACTTTCAGCTGTTCTCTTTCACTCTTCAATATCAATTAACTACAAGAATAAACAGATCAGCCTCTCTGCTCAGTAGAATATCACTCTGAACAGAGCTGCTATATCTCTTTACCCTCCACAGCACTCTGACCTGTGATTGGCTGATGGTTTCAGTAGGAAATCTGTCTGTAGTGCAGAATGATTCACTAATCTTTAATTTAATAACCATCAGGAATAAGAGAATCTGCATTTGAACAGTTTTGTTGGGTTTTCTGTTTCATTTTCATTTATTATAATCATTAATTTCATTGTATTTTGCTGCACGTGGCTCCTCGTGTTCTCTGAATGAAAAGCAGCGTCACTCTTGCACGCATATATTTAAATTAACACATTTTCACTCAATAATGATATACGTTAACATGATCTATGAGTAGATCACCATTTTCCAGCTGTGTGGAAACAAATCATCTACTTTATCACCGAAAAGTATGATAACTAAATTATTAACAACTCGCATATATTCACAAATGATTCCTGCTCTTACTTTAGCGTCCTATTCCCAACTTAAACGTTTGTCATCAGATTAAGACATTCAGAATTCTTTTTATTCATTTATTTATTTATTTATTCATTTCTTCCATGTTTGACCCAAGATGGCATTCATGTAGTGGAACATGTGAGAGGGAGGAAACAGGAAAGAGAATCAGAGGCAACAGGATGTCAGGCAACAACAGGGGAGGTGAAATAATACCATTAAATATATGTTAGCACTAAGATGTATAAATAAATAAATAATTGATTAAATAAATGAGAACCAGAAAAACTAATAAATTAATAAATGTTTAACATATAAAATGGCTACAACATAAATAAATAAATGAATAAATGAGAAGCACAAAAAAAAGTTCATAATTAACATATAAAATGGCAACCAACCAACCAACCAAATAAATAAATAAATAAATAAATGACAGTCAAGTTTGGCTTGGTAGGCAGAGCAGACTCTACTAATCAGCAGGCTGATAGAATGGATGTGAAGTCAGAGAAGACTCCAGTATGTAGAACTGAAGACTGTGTCAGGTTCTATGAGAGTTCCAAGTTCTTCCAACTCCAAGTTCTTCAGGGAACTTTAGCTTATTTAGTAGTTTAAAGCTCACTACTACTATTGCAGCGACAAGTAGGCTCAACACTGCAAAACGTATGAATTAGTGAATGAATAAATAACACAATAGCACTGTTTATTGAACATGTATGTTACGTTTTTCACAAACAAACTGTCAGGTTCGGTCAGAACTCAGCCGCTAGCAGACCAGACTGAAGTAAAATGGCTTTATTAGCAAAAGGTGGAATCTGTTATCATAGAGAGTCTAAGGTCAAGAGCCAGATCGAGAAAACAATGACCATGCGGGCAATCCAAAAAACAGAGTCCATAAAGAAGAAGACAAAGTCAAAACCAGAAATACAAACAATACACCAAGGGCTAAGCTAAGGCGAGATCGAAACAAACAAAGCAAAGGTCAAACACAGACAGACAACTAACGTACTGAAAGACTCAATAATCCTCTGTGAGACAAAGACAATACTTCACAATGAACTGACAGACAGGTGACCTGTATCAATAATCAGGTGAAGCGGAGCGGTGGGGAATCACGTGATGGAGGTCTGGGGTCATGTGACCTGGCAGGGCATTCTGGGAAATGCAGGTGGTGACAGCAGGGCCGGAGGGAAGTTTGAAACAAAGAAAAGAAAAAATTTGGAATCTATATGTTCAACAAAATAAAACCAATAAAGCCAATTTGGTTTTAGATAATCGGTAGGACACTAAGAAGCTGTAAATAAAAATAAAATCTTGGATGTGTCCAGAATGATGACAGAAGCTACAGAAGATGCTGAATTAACTGAACACCCTGAATAAAGTTTAAAAAATAATATCCAGAATTCAACATATTTAAAAAATGGCCAACCCTGCTGCTCAGGACTACGTTTCCCAGAACTCCTCACTGCAACACGTGGCTCAAGACTCACACAGATCCACCATTCACTGTTCAACATCACTGGATTACTAATCATTTCCACCTGTTCCTTGTTTTCTCGTGTTTGTTAGTGTAGTATATAAGCCCGGGCTTTAGCTTAGTTCATTATGAAGTATCGTCACTCATGTGTGTACCGAGTGTTTTATTTGTGCCCTTTTGATATTGAAGTATTGAACTCAAGCCTCTGCTGTGATCATCTGGTTCCGTCTGCCACCATTACACAAGGTAGACAATGTCACAAAAATGGATGGGTAACACTTTACATTGTGTTGACTAACTAAGAT